AACTTTCGTCGTCCGTGGGATTTGAACCCTAGACCTGCTACTTGGAGAGAGTGACAACTTGACCACTTCACTAAGCCGCCACACCTCCTATACATAATTATTATTATATACTTGCCCGTTATCTTCAAAGAAATTCATGTCAAAATCCAAAATTCAACATATATAATAAGAATACTTTTTCTAGATTATATGCAACTATAGATGGAAAAATAAAACTTGTTCAAGATAAATATCCACACTAAACCAAAAGTCTAATGCACTAAGTTATAATAATATTACTAAAATCTTAAATCATGAAAAATTACTTGAGGATACACCAACTGCAATTATATTTCTGGTTATGTCTTTTATATGGTTTGTGTGGAGGTGATGCATGCCAATTAGAATATAATCATATGAAATCAACTCATAGAAAAACAATTTAAATAACTATACCCCGAGAAAAAATCATGCTGAAGGTTTAAAAAACTTAACTAATGCTAGTAAAAATTCCACCTAATATGAATGGTAAATTCACACCTATAGCTAATATTTTATATTACATATATCGTTATGAACAAAATTTCAAATCAAAGGATTTTTTTTTAAAAATTGTACCTAACAAAGATAATATGTGTATTTTGTAAAATCTTATCTTATATTAAGTTTTAACAAGTTTTTTGTTAGTAATTTTTACTTTTAAACAAGGAATTTGATTTCATGATGCGCCATTAGGATGTCATTCACATGAAAAAATGATTCACAATATATGTGTTGTTACAGGAATTGATACCAACTTAAAATTATTCCTTAAGCCAAACATCAATTCAAATTCTTACACAATTAAATGTGGCTACTAACCGTATCATGGCTTTTAGTGGGCATCAATCCCCTGGTAGTGTTGCATCATATCAAACTTTTACTCATGAAATTATGCATAATACAGTCTCTATGATAATTCCATCAGCAGAACAAGATCAAAATAAAAATATTACTACTACTAATTCAAATAAATTCCGATTTATATATCTTATTTGTTTATTCATAATTTATAAAATTCTCACAAGTTTATTTATTTAGCATTAAATATTTAATCCTCAACTAACCAAATTGTTTCACGTCATCCTTTGGTACCACTTTCAACAAATCAAGTATTAGGTCCAATTAGACAGAAAAGTGTTCCAACAAGAAGAAAATTTACACCATTTGATGCATCTAAGCCATTTTGTATTCCATTCAAATTACCTACTACTATTAATGATAATAATTCTTCTGGTATTCAAATTATTGATAAGGATCAAGAAATTTGCTCAAATATGGAGACTAATTCAACCTTTGAAATACCTCAAATTTTATTAGAGAATTGTAAAAATTGTAATATAGATATTAAATTTACATTTCAAAAAAAAATATCAATATTGCTGTAATAATTTTAAATTCATGTATCCAATAATATAAATAAAGATAATTAGATGCTTAATTTGCTATTAAACTTTAATAGTTTAAAAAAATTAACTTTGCTTTACTGCTAAAAATTCTATAATATAAAATTTAATACTATTTTATTCGAAGAAATCTTATATGGTTAAAAATCTATATAATAATAATAAAAAGCTATTTTCTGACTAAAGACAATTTTATATATGTGAATCTAACTACTGTATACTATTTCTTGTTCAAAGATTATAATATCTATAAGTGCACACTCTTGAAGCCAAAATTTAATAATATGTACTTAGAAAAGTCACATATATATTTGAAGAGTTTGGTGTGTGTTTAGAAAATGTGTGTACATATAGAAGATTTTGCTCTAATACATTTCTAGTTTAAGACAATTTTGTGTAGTACTAAAGCTTATATTATTCCTGGTTCAAACCAATTTCAAGTAATACAAGATCTAACTATATCTCTTATACAAATAAAAATTATATCCTATTAGCAAAGTAAATATAAGGAGATATAATAGTATCATTTTTAAGAATATTACTATTTTATTTTGGGAAAATAATTAGGCCACGCAAATTTAATTTATTGGTTCTCGTAACATGAAACTTTTTAAATAGACCTGGCTGGCAGCTTTTTTTTAATTTTATATATAACAATTTATAAATTTTTTTTTAAAAATTTTTTAAAAACTTACCCGGTTATTAAAACATATAAAATTTTTTTTATAAAAATTTTCAAAATTTGACCTGGCCAGGTTACGAGAACCAATTAATTAACTTTGCATGGCCTTAGTAATCAAAATGTTGTTAAAAATTTTAGTGATAAAAGCAGTGATTAATAACACTGAAAATACCATAGTATAAACATAGTAAAATGTTGAATAAGTAAATCAAAAAACATCAAAGCTGCAAAGTTTATAATAATTTTATATATTTTTTAAATATAAAAAATTTATATGTAATATAGTATAATAAATCATGTGACTGATATAGTTTAATATGGATCAAAATTAGCTTGTTTAAATTGGAAATCGCCATGTCTTAAATAAACTAATTTAATTGGCTAAATTGTTTTTAATTATGATTTATACCTATACACTTTCCAATTGTGTAAAAATCTTAAAAATCCTATGTGTCATGTGACATGAACTAAGTCACATGTTGGTCTCTAACCCGGTTGAAAATAGAATTTCTCTTAAAATAATTAAAAAATCATTTATAACTACATTTTATTAAACTATTTTTTGTTTACTAACAAAAAATATTTTTTGACCAATTTTACATATAATTTATATATTTTAAATTTTAATTATAACTTCAATTTATAAATATTTACCATTAATTTGTAATTTTTCTTTTGAAAAATTTTTATTAGCTGTTAACAATATGTAAATTAAGGTTTGAAGAAGTCAGCATGGTGTTCTTGCAAAACTGCATTTTCTAAAGCTATTCTTTCTTATGATTCAATATAATTGTAGCTGAGATCCAAAGAAGTCAGTGTAGTGTTCTTGCAAAGTGCATCTGCTAACAATTTTCCTTCTTTTGACCTAAAACCATTTAAAACAAGATTCAAAGAAGTCAGCGTAGCGTTAGTGCAAAGCGCATATGCTAGTACTTTTCCTACTTCTGATCCAAATTTATTGTCATAGAGTTTCAAAGAAGTCAATGTGATGTTCTTGCAAAGTGCATCTGCTAATGCTTTTCCTGCTTCTGATCCAAGTTTATTATTACCAAGATTCAAAGAAGTCAGTGTGGTGTTATTGCAAAGTGCATTTGAAAATGCTTTTCCTCCTTCTGATCCAATTTCATTCGAGCCAAGATCCAAAGAAGTCAGAGTGGTATTCTTGCAAAGTGCATTTCCTAATGCTTTTCCTCCTTCTGATCCAATTTCATTCGCGCCAAGATCCAAAGAGGTCAGCGTGGTGTTCTTACAAAGCATGTTTGCTATTGCTTTTCCTACTTCTCATCCAAGATAATTCCAATAAAGATTCAAATCTTTCAGTGTGGTATTCTTGCAAAGTGCATCTGCTAAAGCTTTTCCACCTTTTGATCCAAGTTCATTCGAACCAAGATTCAAAGAAGTGAGCGTGGTATTCTTGCAAAGCATATCAGCTATTGTTTTTCCTCCTTCTGATCCAAGTTTATTAGACCAAAGATTCAAAATTTTCAGTGTGGTATTCTTGCAAAGTGCATCTACTAATGTTTTTCGCTTGAAAAAACTGGTTATAAAGTTGATGGATCCAAGTTCATTTTTGCTAAGATTATTTTTGCTAAGATTTAAGGAAGTCAGCATGGTGTTTATGTAGAGTACATTTGTTAACTCGTTTATTCCTTCCAATCCACATTTGTAAGAAAGATCCCATATTGTAGCACTTTCTTGATATTGGACGTTATACGGAATGTTGTCAAGAATTTCTTTACAAAAATTCAATGCTTTAAGCAATTCACATTGTTTAAGATATCCATTTGTTTCATTTTTTACAAATTTTAATGCAATTTCATATAAATTTGTAAAAGTATCATGTTTACATATCGTAATAAAGTCATTTGGAAATTTTCAAGCTGATTCAGTTCGTAGTAAGTGTTCTTCAATTTGTTGACTAATTTCAAATAATCCAATTTCATCTGCTGCAATAAAGATTTCGAGAAGGCTAGATTCATTATTATAAGAAAATTCTCCTATATAAATATAGCTATTCATTTTATGGAAAACAAAATCAACATTTCAATTTAATACAATAGAAATTAATTCGAATTTATTTTTATTTGTATTTATTAGTTTACAGACAACTATAACCTAAAAAAAAAATTATAAACTTACTTTATAAGAACATCAAACACAGGTGGAGAAATATTAGGTTTATTGAAAATAATAATTCCATTTTCTCTCTTTGCCCATTGTGATGACAATGCAACTATAATCGGATCTTGCCGATAAGATAATAGAATGTGCTAAAAATTCTTCGGTATTTGGTTCTTCACCAACTTTAATTTTTACATCAAAATCTTCAGAGCTTTCAAGCAAATTTGAAAAATCATTAATTAAATTTTGAGTAGGTTCATTATTCATATTTGCGAGTAAAAAATAAAAAAAGTTAACGTTAGTTTCGGCTGGTGATTATTTCTATATATGTAAAATAGGTGCAAAGCATTTTCCGAATTCACTAAATTTGTAGAACTTGCTGAATTTACTGATCCACAGTTTATTGGTTACTGAGCCGCCTGATTATATATCGTGTAACAATAACTCAGATGGTGTGATAAATTAATGGCTTTCATATCTTTAAATTACAGAAATAAGGTAGCTGCGCGACGTCATCGCGCAAAACCAGGAACGAGAAAGTATCTAGATATTAAGTGGTATGAATTTTAAGTTAATCTGATTCTGCGATTTTTGCGAAACTTGATCAGACATAATAAATTTAGATTAGGGCTGTTAA